AAAAAAAAAAAAAAAAAAAATTTTTTTCACAAAAATCAAGGAAATGAGAACGTAAAAGTCAAAGTAGTGGTTTCTTCTGGGCAAGGGAAGGGGGTGAGGGATCCACAGGAGGCTTCTCAGACACTATAATGTTCTAGTTCTCAAGCCAGCTGGTGGGTAGATGGGTGTTTTCTTACATGTCTTTAAACTGTACATGGAGGTTTTCAAAACCTTTCTCTATGTTGAATACATTTAAAAGTTTGAAAAGAACACAAAGAGATTTCAAACCTAATTATATTTGCACTTATCAGAACACATAGAATCAAAGAGAATGACAATAACCACATTGGAATATCTGCCTATGATGGAGAGGGTGTTAGAAATGGTAGTGAGGAATGAAGATATAGTGGAGTAAATAAGTGAATAATAAAAAGATATGCATTTTATTGGTCAAAGATAACAATGTAACATGACCAGTGGAGTATAGCTTCCTCCACCTTCTGCACCTGAGATTCAAAGGAAAAATAAATATTGAACGTGATCAAGACACCTGATCCTACTAAATCTGATTGATGCAAAACCAACAGGTACAAACTTAAATCACCTGAGTACCCAAAAGATTGTTATAATCAACTAAGTCATTGCCACAGTAAGTTTTCTGAGGTGAAGGATTTTGAAGGCTCCTTCAGAAGTTGGTCATTTCTCCAAAGTTTTTTTGGGATTGCTTCCCAACATTCCTGAAGGATTTCAAATGTGGCCCTTGGCTCATTAGCCCATTTAACAGTAAAACTCAAAAGCCAGTGGAGAAAGCAGGGGACTGAACTCATGTCCCTACAGGAGCCAAAGACCAAATCTTCATACCTTAGAAGTACAGTCCCATGTTGAACCATGTCTTGGAAATTGCCTCTGTAGCTTGAACACAAACAAAAACCTGGGTGTTGGAAAAATGTGTGCTTGATTTAATTTCACCCATCCTGAGACTAGAAAAAAATCATGGTGGTTATATTGAGTCTGCCCTTGGCCAAAGTAAGTCACATGTGCCTTGGTCACCCCTAGCCACACTCTCTCTCCTATTATCACCCAATCCTAGTGTCCCTATCTCCACTGATGGGCAAATGGATATTTCCCCTCAACACTGAGGCCACCTATTCTACCTTGTCTCTGCACTCAGGTTGCCTCATCAGATCTGCTGTGGGCAGCAGTTATAGTTGAGATCATGTCAGTTAGCTCTTATAAAATGAAGCTAATTTCACCATAGGGTGCTTCATTGAGGTTTGTGCCTTCCTGCCTAACCTTGTATGTCTGTGGACATACCGGGTAGACATATTTCTTGCAAACAGCATAGTAATGTGCTGCAGGCCAGTTGGACTATAACCGGACCTCCCCATGCAATTCGTATCACCCTGGTCCGACCCACAATAGCTGACTTGATGGGTTGAGCCCCTACAGAAGTCCTAGCCAACTTGTGGACAGCTGACCTTAATAAAGGAGGGCAGCTGCTTAGGGTGCTCCCATTAAAATCAAAATCACACAGTACCTATTGCCATCTTCTTGCCCCAGTGTCCAC